CCAGTGCAACTATCGACATCAATAAAGGAGTTCCACTGGCGTTGCTTGCGGAGTATGGTGCATGTGATTAGGGGTATGTAGGTGGTATTCTATTTTTATATACGAGTCTGGAACTTGTATTTTAAATATAAATTATTTTATGATTTTACATGTTTTAAGAAAAAAATTAATATTTTTGGTATTTTTACGGTGGGTCGCTCTTGTGGCCCTAATGTGACACCTCAGATCAGATCGAGTCACCCGAATCTGTCTATGGGTGTTACACTTAGTGGTATCATAGCTTAGATTGAGTCGTGTTTTTCTGGATAGATCGGTCGGTCGACTGTCATAGGATATTTGGTCAGTACATGCCCCTAGACTATAACTGTACTTCTCTAAGTCAAAACTCCAAAGTTGAACTCCTCTCTGTAATAAGCTAACCTAAGTTTTCTATCCATTAGGGCTCGACCTATGCATAAAGGAATACCAGTAATGTTTGTCCAAATTATGTAGGGTGCCTCACGAGTAAAACGAGAGTTACACCTCCGAGAAATTCTAACACGACCCCAGAAATGAAATTGGAATAGGTTACTGCTCTATGAATCTAACCTCGTAGCCAAGGTCGAATTGATTCTACAAGGATAATTCTATTCAAATTCTTTTTTTGGAATGAGGGAGATTTGGCAAGAATGTACATTCAGTTGGTTAAAGATTAGTAGAGGACACATACTTATGTAAAAGCTATATAAAGATATTGAAGAATTGTTGAAAGCTTCGCTTAAGCATTTATGTGACTTGAGTGAATTTCGAGGACGAAATTCTTTTAAGGGGATGAGAATTGTCATACCCCAATTTAAGGGCTAGATTTTATTAATTTAAAGTATCGAATTAAAGTCGTAACAAGAAAAAAGATGGGGACCAAATTATAATTTAAAAGTTTTTAGCTCTATTTTGGAACCTATAGAAAGTTCAAGGACTAAACCCATAATTTTACCATTTTTTAGTGAAAAATAAGCCCCCAGGGCAAAATCCCTAATTACCAAAATTTCCCCCTAAATTGATAGCCGGTCGCACTGCTCCCTCCCCAATTCTTCCTCCTCCGACCGACGGTGCACGTCACTACCCATCTAAATCGAACCGACATTTCACCCCGACCAAACCCCAACCGTCGAAGGCTCCAGATCGATCACCGTTCGCCGTGGGTGAGAGGTTGAAGCTGCGTCGAAAACCCCTCGTTACCTTGGTTTTTTTCGAGTTTTCCGGTTGCCTCTATCGTCGTCTTGCCTCACCACCTCCCTAAGAAGACTCCCCAACTCCATGCGATCAAAACCCAACCAGTAGATGAGGTTGTTGCCATCGATTTTCCTCCATCGCCGGCATGGGTAAGTCCTAAATGTTTTCAGTTAATTTGGCTCTGTTTGGTTGACGTTTTGGTTTGATTTTGGTCTGAAATGGTGTGTAGTTGATGGTGGAGTAATCAGCCGACCACCCCTATCCTGTTGCCACCGCAACGCACCTCCACGTGCGCGTGGGCTTCCTCCTTTATCCTGAAAAACATTCTAGAATCGGTCAAGTCAGTGTGAACCGGCCCAAACAGGTCAACCCGATCTGAACCGGGTCTGTTTGACCCGACCGAGTTAACTTGTCTGAGTCAACTCGTCCGAGTCAATCCGTTGACTTTGACCCAAAAAGGAAACTTTTTCCAAAAGTCCTATTTAATGTTTCTCGACGTCTTAAGTCCGAATCTGAAGTCCGTTTTTCCAAATTCGCACTCGGTAAGTCATTTTTTAGTGTTTTACCTTAGGATTCAACTTGGTTTCTCAATTAAGTTCATTTCTGATGTAAATTCGGTTGTTATGTATCCGAAGAATTATTGGACGTTGAATTCAAGTTCAAGAGTGATCTAATGGAGTTTAAATGTTCGATCAGTGGAGCATGAAAATCGAGATAATATTTTACTACCTTTTGTATGCTTTCCGGAACTTGTTGATAATTGGTAAATGCATCGATGAAATGATTGGTCCTTTGGGTAAACTCAATTATTTTTTGTATCGGACAGAATTTCAGTAAAAAGACAGTAAATTATATAAGACTCAGATGGCTCGCATAAGAAATTGAAAGATCGATCAAACATAATTATAAGTTCAGTGATTCATTAATAAATGAATTGACTTTAAGATCCAAATATTGTGATAAATTTCTTTAAAGGTTAAATACCGAGATTATTTGGATAAGAAATTACCAAAAATAACCCTATGGGTAAAATTACGAAAATGCCCTTGTACTATAAAAATACTAAGACTTCCCTGATGGTAAGAATAACCCATAAAGGACTTACTTGACCAATTATAAGAAAAAATGCATATTATTTGGGTTAAAAAAAATTACCAAAATGTCATCGAGCTTACCAAATAACTATAATAACATCAAATGTTCAAATGACCAAAATGCCTTGAACTTTAAAGGAACTAGAATACTTTAAAGCCTAATTTATCGAAAGTAACGCCACTTACAGAATTGAATGGAATGACGATAATACGCTTAAAATGTAGAAAGGACTATGGATGGCTATAATAATGGAGACGACCTGAGAACTTATATTTTTGATTCGCTTGAAGTTTGGAATCACCGATTAAATTCCTGATATATTCGTAAACCCCAAAAATAAACTTCTACATTTGAAATTCTTAATATGGCGATCCCCGTGTTTTTGAATGATTATTTGAGGATTAGAGTACTGAAAGTGTGACACGTCACTGAAGTATTTAAATAATGAATTATTCTCACGTTTTGAAATAATTAAGGTGCCTGGACCCCCAAAATGACTAAAATAATCCTGAATATCGAGATGACCTAAACACCTTTATGACTTGGATTAAGTGAATATTGTTGGATAGGCTATGGGAACATCGATGAACCTAAATGATATATTGCCTCTAAAGGTTATAGAGCACGACCCAAGTCTTTGGACAATTTGAGATACTATTACAACGTAGAAATGAAATAAATACCAACAGAATACCTATTCGTCTCCTCAAAAACTGATCAGAATGATTCTGATATTAATAAGATCAGCTGGTACAGTCAGTAATAAGAAGTGAATAATAGTGAAGTATCATGGTCCAAATGATTGACAAGTATCACAATAATGGGATCAGTGGTTCAATTGGATTCGAAATCCTGATAATTCAATACGCAATCTTGAATACCAAAAATCACCGCTCTATCCTTTTTGAGTTAAATTACTAAGAATTCTCCAAGAACCAGATGTCTAAAATGCCCCTGATTTGCCTGAATAATGGGAACACTCATGTTATGTATAAATCTTCAATAATTATGATGTAAAATATTTTGAATGCCTTCCTGATACTCAATTGCCTAATAAAAATATCTAAATACTGTATGATCTTGATAAATCATTTCCTGAATGAATGATTAATCAGTTACTATCAAGCCCCCTTTTATATGGATCTTGATTATGAAATCTTATTCAATTACAAAAGTTTTATGGTCCCCTACCTGATAAATCCAAGTATCTCCGAATAATATATGGATCCTCTAGTATGTTCCTTCTGTGACATGTAAATAAACGTGATTTGTTTTATGAAATATGGTTACTTGAAATATGTTCTCTGGTTATCTGTTTTCACTGTAAAAATTATCGTTCTTGATTTATGGATCATGGAATCTACTGTTTATGAACTATGGTTACCTGAAATGTGTTATCTGATTTCTTGTTTTCACTAGAAAATATGAACGTCCTAGATTTATGGATCATGAAATCGAATGGTTACTACTTGAACTATTTTATTTGGACATTATCTGGGTATGTTGGAGTATGGAGGTTCAGCTCTGATCAAGCTGGTAATTCCTGACAAACCTAAGGTGACCCTTGGGTAGACTCTAAGGCCCCGAGAAACTTTCTTGGGTAGGCTCTCAAGCCCCAAGGCACTCCCTTGGGTTAATCATGGGACTGCATATGGTGTACGGGTTGAGGGCAATTATATGGTTTATTTCATTTGCAAACTACAAGATTTTACTGGATCACAATCTAGATATTACTGTTTATTGTTAAATCTGATTTCTACTGGATACTATATGGGTTGGATTCTTTAGTATGGAGGTTCGGCTCTGATCAAGCCGGTAAATCCTTACAAACCTAAGGTGACCCTTGGGTAGGCTCTGAGGCCCCGATAAGCTTTCTTGGGTAAGCTCTCGGGCCCCAAGACATTCCCTTAGGGTGGCTCCTTTGTTGTGTGCTTAGGGTAAGACCTTATGGATGCAGTTCTGAGAAACTGCATAAAGGTGTTCGGTTGGAGGGTTCTATTATGGTTTTAAAAATATGTTTTAAATTGTTAATGTTTAAAAATATATGTATCCTCTTCACTGGTTTTGGTTGGAACACACTAGACATCCTATTTCAATCTCCTGAAAACTTGGTATCTCTTAATGTTTCCTATGAACTGAAATCTTCATGGCTTTTACTCTAAGAAATATTAGTGGAACCTCAACTCATCCGAAAAACTTGTAGACGCCTGAATAGATAAGGAAATTTTTATGTTTGTCTATTATCTGCATGTTCTTCAGCATCTCTTGGTAATTCTGTATTACTGAGCTTCCCAAAGCTCACTCTTGTACTCATGTTAAAAAGAATCAAACCAGTGCAGCTATCGACATCAGCAAAGGAGTTCCAACAGCGTTGCTTGCGGAGTACAATGCATGTAAATAAGGGGCATGTAATTTGTATTCTGTTTTTATATCCGAGTTTGAAACTTTTATTTTAAATATAAATTGTTTTATGATTTTATATGTTTTAACAAAAAAATTTAAATTTTCTGAAATTTTTACGGTGGGTCACTCCGGTGCATCAGTCTGTGGGTGTTTCAGAGATAACTTTTCATACTCAAATCGAACATAATGATGAGAACCGTTTGGTAAAATAATTTTCATTATCTTGCAAGTTAAAACCCACAATGAATATGCACTTCAGCATTATAATAAATTATGTGTCGCCAAAATAGGGGGGGAATTGAATAATAGCCTATAGATCACAATGACCAATTTATGGCTTGTCGAGTAAATTGATAACAAGAAAAGAGTAAAAGAATAATAATGCGAACCCATCGTTTACTGCTACAAAATGAAGCTGTTTACTGCATTTTAGTAGTGGCTGACCTTCTTAATCTCTTTGGAGCTGCAGAAGGAAATGGGGGGAACTATAATGGCTGCAATAATTCTATTCAGAATTCCTAAGGCTTTCACTTGTCAGCCACAATTTCTTTTGGACGATAAACACGACATCCCCTTCATTATCTGAATCCGAGCCCGTTGCTTCCCAATGCAGAGCTGATAAATACTTCTTAATGAAATCTATCACCGGTTGTTTGTCCCGGATGATTACAAAACCAGTGGGACGGAGAATGCGGTCCATCTCGAGTAACAAATCTTCACCACTGCAGCCTTTCCTCTCGATATCAGAAAAGACGGTCCAAGCATGGAGTAAATCATAGGTTCGAGGATATGTGGAAAAGGCTTCACACCTGCCAAAATGATCAAACCAATCAACACAAAGTTATGAGGTTCAAGGATATGTTGAGGTTTCCCTTTCATCAGACATCTTGTATCCCTTTCACTGATAAATGTTTCTCTGTCCCTACCTCATGCTAAAGAGATTAATGGTTGTATAGAATGCAAAAATGGATTGGGAGATGAAAATTTCAGATTTGGTTATGCAGATTTCTAAGTTAATGTGTGCATACCAGTTATGAGTAGTGCCGATCAGGCCTCTGTCATATATCACTTTAAGTGTGTTTGGTCCATCCTCGGGGACGACATTCATCACCCAAACATTCTTACTTCTAAGAGCAGCTGCAAATGACCCCAAGTTTGCATTCATGTCCATCAAATTTCTCAGTGTGTTAGCCTCAACCTTTGGACTCAAGAGATCCCAATAGCTCTCAACCCGATGACGCCAAATTTCCTGCAGATTTGCAAAGGCTATCAGTGTCTACATCCATGTAACTGATGCATTAATCACAATTGAAGCGCAAGAAAATTTTCACAAATAAAGGCACAGATGAAGCAACGCTGCCTTAATTACCGTGTCTTTTTCAAACATTTCACTTGAATAACCAAAATCAGCAAGCCTGGGAGGAGGAGATGTCAATCTGGCTGGCCAAGGAGCCAATCCACTCCCCTTGGCCTTTTGGTCATCTGATAGAAACAAAGGGAAGTTTTAGTTAACAAAAACTTGAAGGTCCAAGCTTTCAAAGCAATCAACTAAAGAATCTCTGTGATTTTCGGGGACAAAATATAGAAGATAGAAGCGATTATATACTCCCTAACTTGCAAAGATTAAAAATAAATAAATGAGCAGGGTGAATGAACTAGATATAATATAACTCAAGCAGGGGGGAAATCAAAAAATGAAAGCAGAAGACCACAAATGATTTAATATCAACTAGAGGGGACAATATTTTAATATCAGCAATGTTGAAAAATATATATACTCACGGTCAGAATAAGGAGTGATACAAGCTTCCATTGGCACACCCCAAACTGCATCTGGATCAACATCAGAGCGGCAGAGAGGAGGTTTTGTACCAGGTTCTCTTTCCATATAACAATCATTTGTTAGAGGTTTTTGCCAAATGACAGTTTGGTTCCTCTTGGCAGCTATTCGCCAACACATTCGTCCCACAAGGGCACTCATCTCTCTCCATATGCGAAGATCCTCTTCGTCTTGGGCATAGGCTTCTGGAGATGAATAGGCAAAATAGCCTCCTGGTCTAAGTAACCGGTCTAGCTCAAGAAGAAGAATCCCATGCCTTTGAAGCCAATCAATCCTACAGCGAGAACAGTGAGCAAATTCGAATGATCTGCTTGGGTAAGGGAGTCTTTTGGTCCCTAGAACACCAAGATATGCGGGAATTCCTCTTTCCAGGGCAAATTGGATTTGGTTTTGATGCACATCATTGGGTGCTAATGACATAGCTATAATATCAGAAGAAAGAAGATATGCTCCAAAACTTGCGACACCACAACCAACATCAAGAACTGTTCGTATCCTTCCTTCATTATTTAAATTGTTGTGCGAAAAGTTGAGCATCTGCCAATTCAAAAATCACAGGTGTTATTGCTTCTAATAGGTTTGAGAGGTTCAAATATTCTAAGAATTCACTCCGAACAGCTAAAGGAGCAAAAATATGATGAAAAAAACTCAAACAGACATCATGGGACCATTCTTTAGCAGATGTTCAAGATTATTTCTCATGTATCTCATGTATCAAAATTTTTTTCTTTTGAGCCAAAATCAGCAGGCATTGATGATCTTACATTTGCAATTGAAGCAATATATTTGTCAGCTCCGTAGTGAAAATGGGTTCCTCCCCCTGGAAATTCAATCTTTTCACCTTTTACAACCATCCAGTTCTGGTCAGACTTCTCATGTGCAAGGTGTGTATGGGGAATATTTTCCTTCCATACTTCATCTCTGCTTTGAGGCCACTTAATTGGGATCTATAATTTCACATGAATTAAAAAACTGTCAATATATGGTAAATTATGCTTACTACCATCGGTATAACAATATACAGCAACAAGAATCTGATTGTCAGCTGACGAGAATCTATACCTTGTATCCTGGAGGAGGAGGAATCAAGCAATTGTATCTCCTTTCAGGAGGAGGGCAGTGACGTTCATAGTGCTCCATCACAGACAAGTCCAGTTTCAATCTCATTTGGTATATCAAATGCCTGTCTAAGCAGGGAATTAATTCTGAATGACGATCGTCACAAACCTTCAAAGTCATAGACAATTATATTATAAGACAAGGCAACTAACCAAAGGAAGAAGTGCAGGGAATTACAAGCTGAATGGTAAAGTACGAATTGGAGGATTAGCAGCAAAGGAAAAGGACAAATAGAAAGAAATTGAGGGGTACAAAATTTCTTAGAAATGGTCTCGGCAACAAAAAACTTACAGGGAAAGTTTTTAGAGCTCCTACGTCCTGTCCAAATTTTATTGAAGATTCATATTGATTGTCATCAGTGTCATCATCTCCACCCAAATAAGATGATCCCAGTTTTCTCAAAGATCTGCTACCATATTCCAGAGCTGCAGCACCACGGCTTGAAGATCCATAATATACATACAGAAAACAAAGAAAGATTGCCACAACACAGAGAGAGGCGACTAATCGCTTCTTTTGGCTTCCATCAGATCTTCCCCTCATCCTTCTTTAGTAATACAATTCTTCACCAATGTTTTCAGTTGTGCTCTGTATTGTCACAACGAAGATCTCCTTATGCTAGTCTATCTCACGTCAAATTTTTTATTCAAAGTAAATCTGTTTTGTTGCTAGCATCGGAGTCTACTCAGTAGAATGAACAAAACAAACTACTTCAAGTTCACAAAAAGAAACACCAAAGATAACTTTATCAAATCTGTAAACAGACAAGTAAAGAAACAATTAGAATCAAACTTTGAAATTCAAGTTTAAACGATCATATTACTATTACTTCAAATCATCAATAATATGATGCAAAATAGTAACAACAACGCCAGCCATAAAAAAGAAACAAAGCAAGCTCAATTAGATAATAGAACAAGAAAACTAAAAACACTAGGAAGTCTAAAGGGCCTCAACCTATACTATCTTCAAATCTAACCAGCTCAAAACGGTAAATATAATAATAATATACATGAAACACCTCATGTGCTAGCCGTTTCGCCTAATAAGACTAAAAAGGATGCCTAATTGTTCTGGGGAAAAGCACCAATACGTAACCATTGGCTCAAAACAGGGTGTTGCAGAAGGTTCGATAATAAATTTCAAAAGCAAGCATTAAACTTGCTTAACAATTCAGATCCTTGTTGATAGTAAAAATTCCATGATAAAAAATATTATACTATTAGATAATTAAAAAGAAAGTATAAGAAAAAAACGAAAGGAAACGATTATGCTAAATGATGCCAACTGCCGACACTTGTAACCAGTTCATTGACAGCCAAGCTATGAAAAGGATTTTTCCGTGAAAAAGCAGTAAAAGCAAGAAACCAATGCTTTTTTCACTGAATTGAAACAATGAGAATCATGAAAATGACGGCTACTTCGTAACTCTAACGGGAAAAAAATCAACAGATCTGCGTCAAAAACTCAACTCAAATCCAGATTTTTAGCATTACGAAAAACGAATCAAAATTAAACCACCAAGAATCAAACTTCGATTCCGAAGGGAACAATAATATAAATCATTCTTATAGTGAAAGATAAGAAATGGAGATTGGCCCATTAAAACTTCCACAAAAACAAGCAAAGCTCATAAATCAGATCTCCATAAAAGAAAGGAGAACAAAAATTCAGTTAAAGCCCATAAATGTTAAAAAAATAAAAACAGAAAATGAATAAAAACTTGGAAGGAAGGAAGCCTTACTGGGATTCAATCAATAAAACGAAATGAACAAGTGTAGTTGAGATCTAAGAACAAGATACTGTGGGTTATCTCCCTAAATGAAGAACACAAAGCAAAGCAAGAAGAAAAAGAGGTAGTGTCGGTATGAACTACGGGAGCATCGGAGAGAGAGTTACGTTCCAAGGTAGTGGTTATTTAAAGGATATAATATTATATGACTTATCGGTTCAAGATTTGAAAAATGATGCTTTTGAGTTGTTTAAATATTAAAAAGTTATAAAATGATCTCTATTTTATTGAATTCTTCGATTATTAAAATTATAAAATAATCATTCGTTAATTCGTATGTTATAAATTCATCTTTTTTCGTTAAAAATTTGTGACCGTCTAAACTGGACATTAACTTGTGGATTGTGATATGATAAAATCTAATCTTTAAATCGTTTGAGTTTTATTTTATGTATCGATTCTTCCTTTACATTATATTATTAAGCTAGTGTTTGTAAGATTATACTGTCAAGTTAGTACTTGAAAACAACGACAATACTAGTAGACATTGTTAAAATATGATTTTATCATTTTTCAATCAGCATGTTAATATTTAATTCAGACAATCATCAAATTTTTTAACAGGAAATGATGCGTTTGGAAAATATGAATAGTTAAATGATCATTTTATAACTTTTAATAGTCGGAGACTCAACAAAATAATATCATATAATCGAAAGATTATTTTATAATTTTAAATAATCGGAAGACTTAATAAAATATCACTTATAATTAGCAAACCATTTATATATATTTTATCCAAAATAATATTATTAATAAATAAATAAGAATCTCTTTACAAGGAGAAAAGAAAAAAGGTTAATTGTGTCGGCTGTCTTCTTTGGGAATCATAAAACTCGGGAAAATAAAATTTGATATTTAGGTTTCGATTAATTAGCGGAAACGGATTTAAGAAAATAAAATGATATTTTTATTTGTTTGGGTTGTTATTTTGATTTATGAGGTTTTGCTCTTATTAATTTGAATGAGTTAGGTTATACATTCGGTTTTAGTATGTGAGTCTTCAATGAAGATCTTTTACTTACAAATGACTCGAATTTGAGACTTGTTTAAACGATATCAATTTACTTAATGAACTCTCGTTAGTTAAAAAACCTAGCATTCTTATTTGTTGTATTTTTTTTTTTTGGAACGTCTAAATAATATAGGTATAATGTTAAAAAAATTAATGTTTGGTTAAATAATTATTTTTATTATTATTATTGAATATTTTGGTTTTTAATATTTTATTTATACATAAAAAGGTTTTCTATTGATAAAAATCGTTATTTAACAAATGATTAATGTTTTAAATAGAAATTTTTATCCTAAAATAAAATATTTAAGACTAAAATATCCAAAAAAAATGAAAAAAAATAAGGACTCAAATGATTATTTAATTAACGATAGGAACATTTTTATTTTAAAATGAAATATTAAAATTAAAATATTCCAAAAAAAGTTAAAATAACTATTTGGCCAGGGATATGAACATTTATTGAAATTATATTAATAATATAATTATTAGTTAATTTATTGAATAATAATCATTTTAATTTAATTACTAAAATAATATTATTTTAAAATATATTTTTTTCAATCACGTTAGACGAAGATATGTCAAAGGGATTATATCTTAATAAAAATATTTTTATTTGGACACGTTTTTATTTTAGATACAAATAACATGAATTAAGTTATCTCAATTGTATTTTTAAAGGTCTCAACTTTAAATATTAAAGACTATTAAAGTATTTAAGCGTTCATTATTACACGATTAAGAGATTTTAAAATAGATATTATCATGTGTAAGCATCTTATATTAATAAAAAAATAAATACAAAAAAATATGAATTGTCATATATTCTTATCAAATAATATACTTTATTTGTTAAAATTGCTAACATTTAGATCTGGATTGGTAGACAAACCACATGCATGATGTATGGGTATAGACAGAAAATGTATAAAGCGTGACATTAAGTTTTCAATTAAATATGTAAGTCTAAGCTTTCATTCAAATTTTTTTTATTAATCTAAGTAAGTGTAAGATAATATTTATTTAAAGATGACTCTCAATTAGTAACTTTAGAAATATTTTTGAGGGTATGCACATGTATATTAATAATATAATTTTTTCGTATTAGGTAGACAACAATAAAATTTCAGGATGGGTACCTTTAGTAAAATGAACTACTATCATAGTTCAAATTGTGCCCACCCTAAATAAAAGCCTACATCCGTCACTGCTCTCAACCATTTAACATTAAACGCTTATATTCTTAGCATTCATGATGCTCAAACTCGAAGTTTCAAAGATTGACAATAATTCGTTTACTACATATATCGTTTGATTCGTACTTTCATTCAAAATTTAATAAAATTAGAAGGAATATTATTAAAAAAAGTTAGGGTCTTAATAAATAATGTCGGTGGTAATGGATTACACAGAGTTGCTGAATTTAGAAGCCAGCAAGCATCCCACCACCACCAACTTGGGTCATCGATTCATCATTTTAAAAAAATAAAATATAATTGAAGAAATTGGCCACACTCACATCCTTAATTATTATTATATTACAAATTGGTCCCACCAAAGGAACCAAAACACATGCAGAAGTCAATTAAAATCAGCTCAAGTTGCACCACTTTTCCCCTTTTTCTTTCTTTTTAATCACCGCTAAGAATATTATGGCCTAATGCATGTGAAACCACTCCTAAAATTCAATCTCATATTGATATATTAATTAAGTAAATATAATTATATTCGATACGAATTAAACGATTTCAGTAATTATAGAGATGATTGTTATTTTTAGAGATTTTAAGTTCGAACACCAACGATTACATGATATTTGGGAGTTTATTTTTAAATAGTTGAGAGTATGAACATATACTATCACCTATAATTACCATAGATTAATAAAAAAAATTACACCTAATTATATTCCATTTTTTATTTAAAATTATTGAAATATAAAAGGAAGGAAGGAAGTTAGGAAAGCTCCTAAAGATTTTATTAAGCATGTATGGGAGGATGGAATACAAGAAGTTGGTGACATTAAATAAGTGCATATTTTATTAATTTCTTCGTATGTATAAATGCATATCTACCATTTTATTGTCTTTGCATACATATTTCAGATATTATATTTTTTTTTCAAAAATGTAATTGAATTTTATTAATAAAAATAATGGAAGAAAAACATAATTACAACACATCCAAACAATAAAGAAAAATCGGAATAATAGTTATCAGAAAACATATACATAAAATTAAAATATTAAACCTGAAGATAAGAAGAAAAATGAAACTTTCCCTTAAGAATGACGTTCAACGTCAAAAGAATCTAGTAACCTTCATAAAAACTATTTATCTTTGTCGAACGAGACACTTTACGAAGTGATAAAGGAGTAGTGAACGAGTCAAACTATATGACAGACTACTTCGCTATACAATTATGCATATATCGAACAAACAACCTTTTACCAAAAAGATGATCTGATTATGTGTGATCATTGATAAATCAACCAGAAAATAAATATTGTGAGGGTCTTTGTGCAAGCATTGAAACGACCACCAAGGTATGCGAAAAAATGTATCAAAAGTCGTAAGGAATGTGTCAAAAGAGGAGAGAAAAAATTGTCAAAAGAGTGAGAAAATTGTGGCATAAGAACAAACAGTTTTATTCAAAATTGAAAAAAAATGAAAAAAATAAACGACAAAGTATGAAAAAACAAAAGAAATAACAATCATCGATAGTCGACAACCAACTTTAAGACTGGTGTCACTTTTAGGTAAACAAAAATAAAAGGAATACAAAAGACGATACAAAAATATTGAAAAAAAAACTTGAGTTAAAATTAGGTAAATGTTATTTCATACTTTATTTTTGTTTTATTTTTACAAGAATGAGTGGTGTATAGAAAAATATTGTACAATTATCATACGTTCATTGTCCCCTTAAGATATGATGATTAGTTACTGAAGAAAGTCTTACTCAAAGAGAACATATATCTATTTTAAAATTTAATTTTTTTTATAATAATTGTTTATTTTACTGATTTTATGTATCTTAAATTTTTTGTATGACATAAAATTATATATATCTTAAAAAATATTGTTAAATCAACCACCGATGATGATAATAATAATGATAATGATGATGATGATCTTGGATATCTATCCTAAAAATTGATGGATTCAAGTCCCAAAAATAACTTATTTGTGATACGTGTATGTGTTGTAATGATTTGTTACCATTAAAGATGTGTGAGTTGTAAATAACAACAATTAGAACATGTTACACACATATTATATGTAAAAGAATAATAATTTATATAAAATAATACATTTGTAAACATTAAAATTAAAAATATCTTTATAACAAGCATTTGTTATATTTTTGGAAATATTCTTTTAGTCACTTCCTTAAATGAGTTTTTTTC